TATACGAGTATACATACTTCTAGGACAGTCCTTCAATCTCTGAACTATACAAGTATACATACTTCTAGGACAGTCCTTCAATCTCTGAAGTATACGAGTATACATACTTCTAGGACAGTCCTTCAAGCTCTGAAGTATACGAGTATACATACTTCTAGGACAGTCCTTCAATCTCTGAAGTATACGAGTATACATACTTCTAGGACAGTCCTTCAATCTCTGAAGTATACGAGTATACATACTTCTAGGACAGTCCTTCAATCTCTGAAGTATACGCGTATACATACTTCTAGGACAGTCCTTCAATCTCTGAAGTATACGAGTATACATACTTCTAGGACAGTCCTTCAATCTCTGAAGTATACGAGTATACATACTTCTAGGACAGTCCTTCAATCTCTGAAGTATACGAGTATACATACTTCTAGGACAGTCCTTCAATCTCTGAAGTATACGAGTATACATACTTCTAGGACAGTCCTTCAATCTCGGAAGTATACGAGTATACATACTTCTAGGGCAGTCCTTCAATCGCGTCTCCTTTCCAGTGCAATTTAACTTGAGTGTCCGTTCCAACGTGAAACTCGACGTATACTTGTACACTGGAAAAACTTGTATCGGATCACCATAACCCAGTTCATGACATGCTACTGCCCCGGCTTGTATATTCCAGTTAACAGCACACACTGGAAACCAATGTGTGGTATTAATAAACATCTCCACGAGTCCTCGGGAGGAATTTCCTTGAACAATCGATCCAGTCCTATCTGGAACTAATCTAAGTTGGGCTGAACCATGCCGGGTTAAACCATAATTATTACAATTCTCTAGACAAGCGATACTCGCCAAGTAGGGTTTCGAAGCAGGGCAAACGGTGCAGACGTCTTTATTGTGAGCACAAGCAACGCATTTGGTACTACATTTTGTACATCTGTTGGAATAGGAGTCATAAAATGTTCCTTCACGGCAGTATTGCACACACTTATTGTCCCAGGTTAAGAGAAAACCTGAATGATAAAATGGAGGTTAGCGTGGTCTTCTGAATTTAACCAAACAGAACTATCATATACACATTCGCCATCACCAACACCATTACCATCATCACCATCATTATCACCATGACCATCATTATCACCATGACCATCATTATCACCATGACCATCATTATCACCATCACCATCACCATCATTATCACCATGACCATCATTACCACCATGACCATCATTATCACCATGACCATCATTATCACCATCACCATCAATATCACCATCACCATCATTACCACCATGACCATCATTATCACCATGACCATCATTATCACCATCACCATCATTATCACCATCACCATCATTATCACCATGACCATCATCATTAATTCATTACCACCATCATTATCTCATCATCATCACCATTATCTTCATCATTATCACCATGACCACTACCATAATCACCTCTATCATGATCATCATCGCCATCATCATCAACACAATCATTATCACCATGACCACTACCATAAGTACTACTCTCACATCATCACCACCACCATCATCAACATCACCACCACAATCATTATCACCATGACCACTACCATAACCACCACTATCATCATATCACCACCACCATCAACAACACCATCATTTATCATTATCACCATGACCACTACCATAATCACCTCTATCATCATCATCATTATCATCATCATTTCAACAGTACAACTATCATTATCATCGCCACCACAATCATTATCACCATGACCACTACCATAATCACCACTATCATCATCACCATCATCATCAACACCATCATCATCAACACCATCATTTATCATTACCACCATGACCACTACCATAATCACCTCTATCATCATCATTATCATCATTACAACAGTACAACTATCACCATCATCGCCACCACAATCATTATCGCCATGACCACTACCATAATCGCCACTATCATCATTATCACCATCATCATCATCAACACTATCATTTATCATCATTATCATCATCACTAGAACAGTACAACTATCACCATCATCGCCACCACAATCATTATCGCTATGACCACTACCATAATCACCACCATCATCATCATCATCATCATTAACATAAAACACAACCCCTTAGAAAGCAGTCATAGCCAAATCTAAACCTCTCTAATAGGCGGCAGTTGACCGCCGGTAACTGACTTTTATTGAAAACACTGACATGTCACTGTAGAAAAAATAACAAATTCTCAAACCTTTAGGACAGGCGGTACATCTCGTAGCATTCTTTTCACAACGCAAGCAATCTTTTGAACAAAAATTACACACTTTATTGTCCTCTGTTATGTAGAAGTTCTTTTTGGTAGGACATTCCGTTTTCTTTAAGCATCGACTTGATATATCAGGACCACTGCATTTAACTGATATAACACTTCGCCTGGAGCAGTAGTAAGAATAGCGTCGTGGAGGGCAGTTAAATATTGAAGATTCGTTACCTGCAAAAGGTTTTAAACTTTAACCTAGTACGTTCTCCCTAGAGCTCCATTGTTACTAAACAGAGACGGATTTTCATATTTTCGTTTGGGGGGGGGGATAAATATCTGGGGGGTGCTGCTGCTTGCTTTGGCCGGGGCATGGTGGCAACGCCCGGAAAGGCCAAGGAAAAAGTTTAACAAAATTTGTTTTCTAGGTCTACATGGCGAGATCTGAGACCATAATATTGGTAATTTTACAAATTTAGTAGTAAAAATAATCAAATATGAAACTATCAAATCAAAATATATGTAATTTGCGGGGGTGCCAAATGCCTTGGGGAGCAAATCATTTCTGCCCCCCCCCCAAAAAAAAAAGAAAAAAATCCGTGCCTGACTAAAGAATGAATCGTTCGATCAGTTCTAAACTGTTCTTCCTAGAAAACAGTAAGTGTCATCTCTTATTGATCCAGTGTTACTACAGAAGGAAACCTAAACTAAACTAATTTTAACTTCTGAGTGTATCTACACCGGGCAGGCTGGAAAGTTTACATGACCGCGGTGGGAATGGAACCCGCGACCTTTGGTTTGCTACTAGCGTTGGTTTGCTAGTGTGTCAAGGGACTAGACTGAGTTGCGAAATATCACGCACTCGAATCGACTTGACCTCGTAGCTCAGTTGAGAGAGTGTTGGACCATGGATAATAAAATAAATGGATAGGAAACTAGCTGACGTAACCTAATGTTTTCAATGGGCTGATGGCGTGGTTGGATGCCTCAACTTAGTTGAAAACCAAATTCTCAAAAACGGCATGTTTAGCAATAATACAGCTTAAACATTTTAGTCAAAGAGCAAATAAATATAACCACGCCATTCTACGATGAAAACACTAAGTATTCCCAGTTAATTTTAGCAAATATTTCAAGCACTATACAGTGAAAAATACATCGCAAATTTCGTTAAAATTTGTGACGCCAATTTCGTAGCTACAAATGTAAAAAAATACAAAACAAAGACGAAAAACATTTACCTTGAATACTTTCTCGTGGCTTAGGCATGTTTTTAAAACAATTAGACCAGTTTATGCTTCAATATCATCCTTTTAAAGTGGAAAATATAGCAAAACAACAAAAATGCCGAGAACTTTGGTAACATTCGCAACACGCGTGACGTCACGTTTTTCAACAAGGACACAGAATAAAGACATACAGAAGTGTATCTTCTTATTAAAAGTGCGTAAGGGATTTTTTCAGTCCGCCATGTTCTTAGCAAGTGCCCTAAAGAGAGGCAGTCACCCCCCTGAAAACATATTGAAAATTTAATATTCCAGGGGGGTGAATGCCTCTCTTTAGGGCACTTGCTAAGAACATGGCCGCCAGCTATTTCGGTAAAAAGCGCCTTACGGTTTTGTAATGGAAGTTACACTTCTGTATGTCTTTATTCTGTGACAAGGATGCAGTCAATGACGTCAGCAAGTTTCCTATCCAGTTATTTTACAATCCATGGTTGGATTAACAAACCAAACGTCACGGGTTCGATTCCTACTGCGGCCAAGCAAACTTTTCAGCTCATCCGGTGTGGACACACTCAGAGACAATGTTCAATTTAAACATAAATTACAAACTTACCAATGCATTTGGGATTTTTAATCACCAGCGGTGTACGATAATAAGCGTACGTCTCGGTGTTGTACACCTGTACCGCTTTTCCCATCTGGAGTTCTTTACAAACAACATGACCATCTTGAAGACTTACGTATCTGTTGCAGACGAAACCTGTTTCACCTTTCGCTTTTACCTAAGACAAAAAGCACAATTAGTAAATAGACCTTTCCCCTTTGGAGTGAAATTTTGATCTAGACAAGTCTGGAAAAAATTTCATTACAGCTTGAAAGAGCATCACAAAATTACTAATATTCCGAAGTTTCGTTGCGAAATGTTGTAAAATGCGGATAATATAACCTCGCGAAGTTTGCCGTTTTTCAGTCATTCTGTATTACAAATGGGAAATTGATAATCAGTTTGATCATCTGATTATCAATTTCCCGTTTGTAATGCAAAATGACTGAAAAACGGCAAACTTTCGCAAGGCTATATTATCCGCATTTTACAACATTTCGCAACGAAACTTCGAAACATTACTAATTTTGTGATGCTCTTTTTCAAGCTGTGATGAAATTTTTGTCCAGGCATTTCTAGATCAAAATTTCACTCATAAGGGGAAAGGTCTATTAGTAAATTTGTTATTGTGCAAGGGCGAATCTAGCCTCATCTACAAGGTGGGGTGCATATTTTCCATGGGGGGGGGGGGTGCACATTTTCCATGGGGTGGTTCACGAGGGAGCCTCGCGGCCCATTCTTCTCTGCTAGACACCACTAATTCAATATCAGATCACATGATCTTATCATACTAAACTCAAAAAGCTGCCGTTATTTGTGTCTCAATGTATCACCCAAACACAGCCGGGCAAGGATAAAACCCAACACTAAATCAACTTACCAAAACAACGCCCTCATATGGTCCAACTTTCTTCCACAACTTGATAAAAGGATTAACACCTCGCTCATATAAACCTTTGGAACAGCTCTTCAAACACATATCACCTAGCAGCACACTGGGTCGCTTGCATGAAGTACACTCCGTAATCGCGGGTCCACTGCAAGTCCAGCAATCTGGGTGACATGGTTTACAATGTCGGTTGTCGGTTTTATAGAAGCCCGGTGGGCATTCCTTAACACATATGCTACCGTTGGTGCGGAAATATCCTTCCCTACACAACGAGCAATTGTTTGCAGTACCAGAACAGTTCAGGCAATTAAAATAACAGGGCTGACACCTTGTACCATTTTTGTAGTAGGACGGAGGACATTCAGTCTCGCAACTAGAAATTCCAGGATATGCACATTCGATATGCACGTCTTCTGAATGTACACAGTTGTGAGAACCCCATCCTATAGACTTACACTGAGCGAGATCATCTTCTGTGCCTTTACAGTCGACATCATCCAACCATATTTTAGTAACGTTGAACTCTTTTAACTCTTTAAAACTCTTGTAATTGAGGTACACATTCTTAACAGGCGGGCCGAGCAGTAGCTGTTTGCACACCACCTCGGCATTCTTACCTGACCAACCATCATCACAAATACTACCCCATACTCCTTCATGCTTAATTTCCAACCGTCCTTTGTATTTAAAATCTTCAACACTGGATAACCGTAATGGAAGAGCGATGCCTAAAGATTTAGGTTCATGGTAAGCCCAGTATTGGTCTGTGGGACAATTGCGTTCGCATTTGCCTTTCTTGGTTAAAACAAAACCATATTCGCATGCTTTGCATTTAGTGCTTGTAGTACAAACGAGACATTTCAACGGGCATACGTGACAAACTTTGTCCTTAGGGTAGTGCCTCAGACCACAGTCCTTCACACACAAGTACTCCTTTCGATATATTTTATCAGGGCAGGTCAGCCCGCAACGTGTACCATTATGAAGAAGCGGTGGCACACAGGATAGACACTTATCTGCTTGGTCCTTGCATGTCCTACAATCTTTATTACACGGGAGACATACACGAAGGGTAGCATTAGGGAATGTACCATCAGGACAGATCCTTGCACATGTCGTACCATTATGAAAGAACGGCTCTCTACAACTCAAACAGTTTTCAGGATGCTCTAAGCAGGTTTTGCATTTTCGATTGCACAGTTCGCAAATCTTCTCCTTATTCGGAAAGGTTCCCCCGGGACATTTTTCAATACATCCGTCTTTTACAACATAATTGTGTGCAGGTGGTTCACACCGTAACCCTACGTCTTCGTAGTGATAACAACCGCGTGAGAACCAATTAACCTGTGGGCATTCAATGAAACTCTTCTCGTCCCCCTTACAATTGATATATTGGGCTATAATCTTCCCTGTGCCTTTACCATACGCGCTGCCCTGATACCTAATAGGTTGACCATACCCTAACTCACGACAGAATACTCGTGCGGTATCCAGATCGAAACCGTCATCACAAACTGTATGCCATTCCCCCTTATACTTCACCTCTAGTAAACCCATGTAGGGACTACTGTGATTACCAGATAGACGAACGTATTTAGAGAACCCCACTGCTTCCCCAGGGCATTGGCTCATACATTGGTCCCCGTTTATAAAGTTGGCCTGTTTGTCCGAGGAGCAACTAGTGCACCTTGGGGTATTGTCCGTTCCTATGCAGGTTTCGCATTGATCAGGACAAGGTAAGCATTTCCGAGTTTCCAAATTACCAAAATTCCCTGGTTTACATTTTGGGACACAGAAAGTACCTAGGAAGATGGGCAGTAGTAATATTTTAGTTCTATTGTAATTTTCATGGGAGAAGAAATGGTGGAGACATTGGTGATATTGGTGGTGATATTTTGATGTTAATAATGGTGATGTTTTGATGGTGATGAGAATGGTGGTGGTGATATTTTGATGTTAATAATGGTGATGTTTTGATGGTGATGAGAATGGTGGTGGTGATATTTTGATGTTAATAATGGTGATGTTTTAATGGTGATGAGAATGGTGGTGGTGATATTTTGATGTTAATAATGGTGATGTTTTAATGGTGATGAGAATGGCGGTGGTGATATTTTGATGTTAATAATGGTGATGTTTTGATGGTGATAATATGGTGATGAGAATGGTGGTGGTGATATTTTGATTTGAGAATGGTGGTGGTGATATTTTGATGTTAATAATGGTGATGTTTTGATGGTGATAATATGGTGATGAGAATGGTGGTGGTGATATTTTGATGGTGGTGATATTTTGATTTGAGAATGGTGGTGGTGAAATTTTGATGTTAATAATGGTGATGTTTTGATGGTGATATGGTGATGAGAATGGTGGTGGTGATGAGAGTGATGCCAACATTAATAATCCCAAAACGATAAACCACATAAAGGCCAATTTACACCAAACAACTTTTGCCTAAAACTCTGGCATGCAACCAATCTCGTTCCCCGAGCATGCCCGTTCGCAGGTTAAGGGTGGGCATAGCTCTGGAGAAATCGAATTGATTCAGGCCTGTGATTGGCTAACGGCAGACAGTACGTTGGATTTCCAACGCGAGTTCTATATAAACAAAGTATTTGGAATTTCTCGTCGAAAATTTGATACTTTTTACACCGAAATCGATTGAAAACAACTAGAAATTCTGGAGGAAATATGTATGAAAGCTGCGGATTGATTTCGATACAACTACCTGAAAAATACAAGGAGAACTTCGACGTTTCGAGCGAAGGCGCTTCGACTTGTGCTGTTTATAGTGTTTGTATACATCGTACTTGACCTTTTATATACTGACATACTGTCATACCTAACACTATGTATACCATAAATTCTGACAGGAGAGTTACATGTAAATTTTAAAGCATAAAAATATAGTGAATACTTATTCTTGAGGAGATTATATTTATCAGCAAAGGTCAAGTACGATGTATACGAACACTACAATACATGTCGAAGCGCCTTCGCACGAAATGTTGAAGTTCTCCTTGTACTTTTCAGGTAGTTGTATCCCTATCAATCCGAAGCTTTCCCCCAGAATTTTTAGTTGTTTTCAATTCGATTTCAGTGTAAAAAGTATCAAATTTTCGACGAGAAATTCTAAATACTTTGTTTATATTTTGCAACAATTGCCGAGCATGCGTAGAACTCACGTTGGAAATCCAACGTGAATCAATTCGATTTCTCCAGAGCTATGCCCACCCTTAACCTGCGAACGGGCATGCTCGGGGAACGAGATTGGCATGCAACCTACTTACAACTTGAGTTGTACTAGTTGAGTGCTTGGTTTACACAGTACAACTCAAATTGTAAGCAGGTTGCATGCGACAGTTTTAGACAAAACTTGTGAGTATGAATTGGCCTTAAAACAAATATTATATAATCAAAAAATTGTTTAAAATTCTATACCTTCCAAGAATCTCATTTCATTACAAGTTGAACAGTTGTCAAGCGAAGTGCAAACCTTACAGTCTAGTGGACATTCCAAGCACTTGCCATTTGAAGCAAAATAGCCATTGCTACATGAAGTTTCACACGTATTGGTTGCATCTGGACCACTGCATCGAACGCCTACGTCTTCCAAATGGCTGCACTGATTATCACCCCAGGCTAAAATGGAAGTGAATAATTTTGAAGTTTTATTTTTTTAAGGAAAACGTATTATATAATAACTACAGTGAAACACGCAATTTGTTTGGTCAATAGCCGTGCAGGATCAGGAATTAAAATGCACGAGGAATTAAAATGCCTTTGTGGGATTTTCGCGGGATTCTTAAAATGTCATTGTTTCACTGTAGTTATTTTATAAAACAATTACCAAATGGTTTTCCAAGCAGGATAGCGTGATCCATGCACTTGGGATGTTGCTCGACTTTCAGAAAGCATAAAAATACACTCGCCTGCGGCTCGAGTATTTTTACGCTTTCCGAAAGTTTGCGACATCCCTCATGCATGGATCACGCAATCCTGAACGGAAAACCATTCGGTATTCCTTTATTGGTCAGGTGAAAGGTATGGTGGTTATGGTGAAGATGGTAGTAATGATGGTGATGGTAGTGACGATGTTGGTAGTGATGATGTTGGTAGTGATGTTGGCGGTGATGATGATGGTGATGATAATGGTAATGATGATGATGGTGGTGATAATGATGATGACAATGGTAATAATGATGATGATGATAATGGTAATAATGATGATGGTGATGTTAATGTTAATAATGATGATGATAATGATGATGGTGATGATAATGCTAATGATGATGGTGATGATAATGGTAATAATGATGATGGTGATGATAATGGTAATGATGATGATAATGGTAATAATGATGATGACAATGGTAATAATGATGATGACAATGGTAATAATGATGATGGTGATGTTAATGGTAATGATGGTGATGATAACGGTAATAATGATGATGGTGATGTTAATGGTAATAATGATGATGGCAATGTTAATGGTAATAACGATGATGGTGATGTTAATGGTAATAATGATGATGGTGATGTTAATGGTAATAATGATGATGGTGATGTTAATGGTAATAATGATGATGGTTCAAGGATAATGATGGTAATGATAACAATGTTTGCAATGTTAATATTGAAATGATTGTCACAGTAGTAGATCAACCATGAGATATTAATTCTTCTCAAGTTACCTTTATGTTTACAATCCAAAATTGACTTTTCATGCCCTTTACAGTTGACACCACTCAGCCAAATTTTCATATCCTTGTACCCATCACTTCTTTTAAACCTGCCTTGACCAACAATTTTTGCTTCAACAACATGACCCAGTTTAAGTTCCTTACAGAGAACCTCTCCTGCACTCCAGCCATCAGCACAAATCGTCCCCCAGGATCCTTTATAGTACACCTCTACCACGCCTTCCAAACTGGATCGTCCTTCAACAAGTCGTACCCTTGGACTACTAGAGTTTTTCATCAGCATCTTTGCATCACAAGTTTTCACACACAGACCGTGTTGTGAAAGATAATTTGTGTCCTTACAACTTAGGCATTGAGTCTCATTGCAAGATGAGCAAATGTCATGGCAACTTAAACATTTACCACTCTTTGGATAGAAGCCAATTGGACATTTGTTTACACAGTAACCTTGATAAGCATTATTATTACCACAAGGAGTATCTGGTTTTGATAGTTTTTTTGCTAGTGTCACTTGATTACCACAGCTACCAGTTGAATCTTGACAGAAATCATAACAAATCAATGGTTACTATTTTTATAAAGATGATGGCGAGGATTTTTATGGGTGAGATTATTATTTTCATTCTTTGCTTTAGTCTTGTATAATTTTGCAGCAAATAAAATTGAGATACTCTATTTAACCCAGGCCTGCAAATTCACTACCGTAGGAAGCAATTTTGTATTGGGGAGGGGCTGATTAGTCAGGGGCGATTATTAGGTCATTACTTCCCTCTCAAACCTACAGTAACAGATTATTGCTAGTTTACAAATTATTGGGGGGACTGAAGTCCCCCAGTCCCCCCCCCCGGTTGCAACGGCCCTAAAATTAGTGTTGGTCATTGGACGTTGTCTGCCAATATTTCAATTTAATTGTCTGATCAAAGCTTTTAATGACCGGACATGCAACCAACCTTGGCTGCCAGACATATATATGTCCTTCCAAGCAAAATAATTATTTGCAGACCTATAACACCAGTCTCTATTTAGCCCCTTCTCCCCTCCTAATAAGCTGCCAGTCCAGAATTGCTGAAAAAGCCACTTAAATGGTTGCTGAAATCCTCTAATAGGTAGTTAGTAACTTTTGAAAACTGACTTCCTTCATCAAGTTTACGTGACGTGCAGAATGTTATGATTTACATATAATAGGTCAAACTTCAAGTGGTTTGTCTGTCTAGATTCCTGTTTGTATATAAAGTATATTTTATGTATCAGAAATGGGATCTTTTTTAAAAACTTCACACAAAATATTGTGCTGTAATTGTGTGTGAAAAATTGTAAAATGTTGGAAGTGTGCCCAAACAGTACTTTGCTTATATTAGGCCAAGTAAAAAAAATAGTAGTTTCTCAGATCTCTCCCCCCCCCGCCCTTTTTCCCTGCCGCATGGATTTTTTTCTTTTTTTTAAATTTTATATTCGAGCCTTTCAAAGAATTTCTACTTAGTGTATTTCAGCTATTTCGCTCCTTTCGACATAGTTCGGTTGCCGTTCGGAAATTTTCGTCAACTCTTGCTTGCTGTTCCATATGTTGGTGCCATATTGCATTAGTAGCTGTTTGTCTATTTTAATATATTTACATTTTATGAGTAAACTTCAATATTTGCTTGTGTTTATAGGTTACCGTAAACTTCCAAATATAAGCCCTGGGCTTATATAATTTCATAAGCCTTTTTTGATGGGCTTATACATGGGGGGCTTATATACGGGGGGGGGGGGGGGGGGG